TCACACCTACCCTCGATTACACGAATGACGCAAGAAAACTCACCGATACTTTCTAAATAAAACAACATTTGAATCTTAAAGCAACAATTTCAGAAAATTTCTTCATAGAAGTTGAGATTACATAAACACCTTGATTATCATTCAATCATCATTCTCGAACAGACTTATCGTTAAAGGCATTTGATGATTTCAATAGTGGCGGTGATATCACAATAAATTTACATACTCTACAGAATATATTCATATAAAATGAAACTCTCATGGTATCAGAGAGGCTATGTATGCTTGGAACTTCAGAAAATTTGTCATTGTCTCTATGGAAATACTCTAAAAACTATCATATGAAACATAATTGAATTTATAAGAATCAATGAAATTGGTGACTTTGAGGTTCTGATGCCAATGATGCATTATCAACAATGGTTCTACACATATGGTAATACTCACGAACAACTAGACAGAGTCCAGTTTCAGTGCGTTTATTTGTCAGTAAAATTGAAAAGTATAAAGAAAAGAGGAATAAAATTCATTTTAAAATATAAGGCGGTGCTAACTAAACGCCAATGTCCATCAGCTTTGGTGATGGTTGACGACTTTATTGCACTTCCAGTGTATGTAACACACCTAGCCTTTTTTCCCATGACTTTTGTAGTACTCATCACCACGATAATACGAGTGACCAGGGGGAGCAACACGTGTGCGACAAACACGGGTACCAGATCGATCACGACCATCACAAATATCAGTCGCAATACGATGAGTAACAGGATCAACAGCAACAGAATAAGAACTGCAACTACATTTGCGACGACCTTTACCAGTGAGACCAGCCATAATACCAGTACAAAGAACACAGTGACCACTTACGGGATCATCATGACCGCAACAATCAGAAGTGGTAGTACAAATATCCCCATGACGACCACAACCATGTTTGTTCGCAGATCGATCAGGTTGTTTTCCTATTAGTGCATTGCAATGTAAGACCAAAAATACCAACATACACATAAAGTACATCACAGTCTTCATGTTATTCATTTTGGTGGTGCCGATTGACGAAGAGATACAAGTATACGTATTAGTTAAAAAATATGTATGTGATTATGGTTTGATACTAGTGCTATTGCTCTTATATAGGCAACGATTGCTTTATAGAAAATGGATGAAAGAATAAGTTTGTATTCATTATGTAGAATGGAACAAAAGCAAGTAGCCAGAGGGTTATTTACGAACGCAGAATAGTTAAAGACTAAAAAAAAATAATTGGTACTTTTCTTCATTCGAGAGCAAATAGGTTCTTGTTTGTCTGTAAAATGTACTTACGCATTCAGACATTGAATACACTCTAAAATACCCTCTATCTCTCATTAGTACCTTTTCAGTATCATATTACTGGATGTCAGTGTGTGCAGTTTTTCTAATAATCCATATCCACAACCACGTTCGTGAAGCTTTTAAAACGCTTTATTCTACATCAATATTAAAAATAAAGCAGAGTGTGAAAAGTCCATTTGAGCAGCATCTACGGCGATCGATCGGGCCTTATGTGGAATGACCCGTATTGATTTCAACATGTGTCGGAAACTAAGACTGTGCTTACTTTGTTTTGAGCTATTTAATCTCATCATCGTACTGATGTTATAGTGTAACAGCTTATTCGTCATGTTAGAACTTGTTGCGATCATTGTTGGAGTTAAAACTGTTCTTTAAAAAATTAAAATGTGAGAAAAAAGACAAAAAGTTAAAATGGTTATAAATTGAGTTACAACTATCAACCGTAGTTATAACTATCAACCAATATTATAACTATCAACCGGTTTACATGATTTACTGCCGTGTAAACATTTGTTTACAAATAGATCTTTCTTTTTATAAGAAGTTATATGATAAACTTCGATAAGTCTAATGATCACGATGAATATTTTTTTGTTTCCTATGTCAAAAGTTTATTTTTCATCTCAAAGGTTTGTAAAAATACGTTGAAATCTAACTATAGTTCGTAATGAGCTTTACAGAAAAAAACTATTGTATGTCAAAGTTTTATTTTTCTTATCAAACGTTTGTAAAAGCTCATTCAAATCTAGCTATAGTTAGTAATTAACTTTTCGAAAAAAACCTACTCTTTGTCAAAAGCTTATTTTCCATGTCAAACGTTCGTGAAAATCTATTAAAATCTAATTATAGTTCATAATGAACTTTTCGAAAAAAAGCTATTCTATGTCAAAAGTTTATTTTTCATGTCAAACGTTCGTCAAAATCTAATATAATATAACTATAGTTCATAATGAACTTTATAAAAAGAAACTATTCTACGTCAATAGGTTATTTTTCATGTCAAACGTTCGTGAAAATCTATTAAAATCTAACTATAGTTCGTATATTTTTTTTTAGGTTTTTTCACTAATGGATTTTCATTTCTAATATTTCTCGAATGATTTGCTATTAAATATATTATATCAAGCGATTTAGTAGATTGCTAACTTTACTAAACAGAATAGTAGTATTGTAATGTATTACTAATTTTCCTTAATGGTATGTTGTGATCATTAGCTTATCTTAACTATAAATCATATAACTTACCAATTTGGATAAATAATTGTTAATTGTGCATATATGAGATTTTTATTTTATATTTTTAATAATTTTTATTATTAATGTATAGCAGTATTGATATAAAGATCAATAATCATGTTTACGAGTGTGGGTGTGGGTGTGGATGGGTGGGAGTGGGGGTGTGTGTATTGTCTTCACACGTAGTACACCCACACCCACCACCTCACACCCGCACTCACATCCACATCCACACCCTGTTCGAAAAAAAGCTATTTTCAAGTTTAAAAATCAAGTATCAGGATGAAAAATTCGAAAGATATACGTGAGTTTCTCATTTCAGCCCCTTTGGAGCTGCGCTAACAAGCCTTTATCTAGGAAGCAATAAAGCAGAAAAGCAAAATAAGAAATAAAAACTACTTAAGCCCCCCCCC